CCCCAAAACCCCAAAACCCCAATAAGCAAAAACTTGGGATATAGTTCGAATCTAATTATCAGCATTTATTCATAAAAATATTTATATAAAAAGAAGGAAGGGAACCTAAAATTTAATCATTAAAATTATATTCGATGGATATATAGTCCCAGTATAATTAGAGAAACTAATTCCAACATGGCTTAGTTTCCTAGTATGGACTTTATAACTAGCAATCAAGACCAATTAATAATGAAGAGAATAAAAAGTTGAGAGAAGATTTGAGTTATTTAAAAAATTTAGCTTAAGGAATGAAGTAAACTTTACAAATTTCAACAAACTAGCAATTGCAATAAAAAAAAATTAGTAGCTAATATAACAATATTGAAGAATATTCCGAGGATGACGAAATATTTTAAAGTTAATAGAATCCCAATTATCAACAAATTGATTTTAATGAAGGATGAAATCAATAGCTATTAGACATTTAAAATTCTACTCTAAAAAGAACATAAAAGGATTACAGTGAAATCATAAAAAATTTTGTGGAAAGAAGAAAACAGATTCAAGAATTATAACTTTAAACTTTTAACGATGAAATTATTGTCTAATAATCTCAATAGGCAAAAGCAATAGAGTCTTTTAAGATTGGGTAGCATTTTTAAAATAAAATAGACAGCTGAAACATCACCTAAAATAAATCAAATCAAATTTTTCCTGTTTAGGAAAATCAAGGAGGCATTGATTTTATTTTTAAACAGAGATTAAAAGAAAACATTAGAAACTTAAAAGCAAAAAAAGAGAGTTTAAGCATATTGCCAACGATTTAATGCTGAAACTTAGAATAATAAAAACTGTTATAGCAATTATAGTAGTTAGAATCAAGCAGATAAAAGGAATATAGTATCTCAGAGGAGGATTCAATTGAAGATTTGGAATAACCATCAGTTCAGTTAATAAATTAAGGTCTAATGGGAAGACTAAATTTCAGAACGCCATAACAGCAGTATAAGAGTAACATGCTTATAGCGACTTTACCAATTACTAAACAAATATCAGACACACCTTAGTCTCACAATAAGTTATAAATACATAGGATGCTTCCACCTAAACCCAGTAATATAAGTTAGTAAAGTATTAAAAACAAAAGCTATCAAAGTAAAAAGTCAAATCTTAAACCTACTCCTTCAACAGCTGATTCTAAATTTTCAGGGAATAAAATGACGGACTCCCTTTTTAAGAATTTTAGATCTAAGTTGAATTTTAACTTCAACTAGGATATAGCACACTAGGGACTGAAATACAGTTTAGACAAGCAGATAAAAACATTAGTAAAATAGATTTAACACAAGAGAGAAACTAGTGTTAATCAGCATATTCTAGGGACTAGCTTGAGTACTGGAATTGATACTTATTATAACAAGTCTAATATCTCTATTTCAAATCATCAAATCAACCCAAAGATTTTAATTAATCAAGAGCCATCTAACGATGATAGTCATTAGAGAAACATAACAAATCCTAAAAGAATGAGGTTTAGAAAATCAAAAGTTTAGTCAATGGGATTACTACCAAGAGATGCTATTCTATGAAATCTTAATACCTCTGATCTATTAAATTTGTCTAAAAATCAATCATTAAATAACATATAATAATAAATATGAATTAATCAAAGTATTTTATCTCTCAAGTAATCTATCGTAATCTACCATTTGGGGTTTTGGGGTTTTGGGGTTTTGGGG